TATATATATATATATATATATATATATATATATATATATAAAATTCTAGTTGTAGCTGGACTTTAAAAAGACTAAAGATTATGTGTCAGATCATTTTCACTCTTAGTTTTACATCAGAACAGTTATACATTTCATTAAAATATTTTCATTTTCCATATAAGCACATCGGCTTTATGAAATACATAGCAACATTTATTATAATTGTCATTTATTAAATATATAAGCTGTAAAGATACTTTATATAGTTAATGTAAGTCGTGAATTTAGCAAACTAACATGAGTAAAATAATTACAACACACAGTAAGTTTTTTCATATTTTGAATCTGGAAACAAAATTAAATCTGCATTTGTCTGGAATTATAAGGTGGCTAAAACAGTCTGGATTTAAGAGGTATGCTGAGTTTGAAACATGATCGAAGTATAACATCTACAGGTCAGTGTGTTCAAACTCTAGGTGTGGCCTGAATTTCCCCTCTATGTATATTGTATGTGTGGGGTGTGGTGGGCAAAATCCATGCATTTGTAATGTTCTTCAACTGTCCCTTAATTAGTAGACACAAGCTGCAGTTCAGAAATCTGGTCTCTGTTGTTGTAGAGGTCACCAAATCATTAACATTGTCAATCTGGCAGTAGCTAATTTCAATAGCACCTGATGTTGCAACGCCTCCTTTAGTTTCCCTAGCCAATCGCATCTCGCTTTCAGCTGACAGATGGTCCCATAAATGGATGTAAAAAGAAGAAGCTGCTAGCCAATTTCATCAAGGCTCTATTCAGTCGCTATCTACATTCTAAATTCAGGGGGCTTGAGGCACAGTGCTTGGGTTTGGGTTTTCTTTTTGCTGCATCATATATCTTGCCCTGTATATTTTGTGGATTTTTTTTAAAGATACAATAAAGCATTTAATTCCCTGAAACCATATCAGATCTTTAGAGGAATTGAAGCCTTGCAAGACCCATTATTTGCCATTAAGAATGGTTATGGTAGGTATTAGTAGTTTTTAAAATTTTGTTTGTTACAGCAGTCTTTCATAATTTGTGTATAGAACATATCCCTTTCCACAAGTCTCCGTTTTTATCAGTCTGTGTTATCACATTAGTTTAGTTTGCTCCTCTCGGTTTGCTTGTTAAATGTCTTTCTCCTGTCATTTCACAGCTTTCCTTTCTTTTTTCTTTTTCACATATGTAACTACTTGCCTAGTATTTAATAAAGGGTAGTAATGGTGTATTTTTACCATTTAATGTTGGTTATAATTTTTGCTTTCAATGTATCCAAGATTGCATTGGGCAACAGAACTGCTGAAGGAGGGGGGCTGGGGTGGTAAAATTTCCCACATTCACATGCGGGTAATACATATGCAAAATAGAATCCTTTAGAAAGAAATTATATAGAGAGGTAATGCCTTGAAAGAGATACTGTTTTGGTTTGGTGTATTGCGCAGTAGACAACGGTAATTTTTTTAAAATAATGATTTATAGGAGCTTCAATAAATGCTGCATATTGTATTTCAAAGAGTTTCCTGTCATGACCTCATAAAAAGAGGAGGCGGCTTGTATGTGTAGCAGCGCCTAGTATATGCCGATGTGTTGCATCGTTGGGCAGGAGTTCTGTAAGAAGGAATGTCAGCTTTTACATAACATTCTTTTTGCTTTTGACACGGTGAGGGGCTGTAAGGGTCCATCTTTGTGATCACAGATGGAGTGGAATGGCTTGAAAATGGTAAGTGAACACTAGGAACACTCGGCTTTCAGGCTTTGTGCGGCTTGTGAATTGTACTTGCTTAGGATAGCAGATTGTGAACTATAAATAAAATTATAGGCTATTTTGGATTTTAATGAGGGCACCTGGGCATGTAATGTGTATGTACAACTATTGTAAAAATACAGATGAGTGTCATGGCATAGAATGCTTCGTTTGGGCTGATCGCTGCTGACAGCCACAGTGTCTTAGTACTATATGCTCAGCATATGATGCCCTTTAATCTTCATTTGTGCTACGCAAGTGATAAGTTGAACAGGAATCGAATGACTACATGGACTGTTTCCGTGGAATATTAAGGCTGCTGTGAAACAAGAGTGCTTTCTTTTCTGTGGAAGGAAGTTAAATCCGATAATGTGATAGTAATATTTCTATTTTTAACATATTCTTTTCTTTAAAAAAATCCAAAACTGTTTGATTTTCCCCCCCTTGCTCCCACACCCTTTCTTGCTGTTACTGTTGTTCTTATAGATTGTGCAAAATGGCTAGATCAAATGTAGATTTTTAAGTCTTGACAGAAGGAAGCAAATCATGAGGATGGAGGAAAGAGTAGACGAAAGAAGCATTAACATTCAACTCATCCCTCCTACTTTTGTTCAAATTAAATATCTTACAGGCACCCCTCCCCCCCCGAATATTTATTATAAACTCAGAAACAAAGCTATGGTCTTTTGCCTATTCTTGTAGGATTTTCTTTGTTTAGCTGCTTGTTTTGATGGGTGTAAAACAAATAAGATTAGACTGAGCAGCCGAACTGAAAGCGATAGCTGGAGGAAAAGCCAGTGAAAGGTTGCCCGGGAAACGAGGATAGGGGAAGCTGAGTGGGGGAGCAGGTGGCAATCATGTGGGAATACTGCAAACACTGAAAAAAACAAATTCTAGATCTACCTCAATTAACTTTGCCGTTCTTTGTGGCAGCCACAACTTTATTTTTTCCATATGAATAAACATTCAATTTCTCTATTTTTAAATTGGTTATAGCTATAACCCACACAGATATATTCCCCACACAAGCATATATCATAACGTGGTATCTGTTCTTTTTCGTCGTTCTTTCTTTTTCTAAGGGTGGGGGTTGTTTAACCATTTTATTACTGATATAAATTCTATATGCATGAATATACATTGAAGACAGGAAATAGTACATTGTAACAAAAGATGCTGAATGGAAATAGTTGATCTGAAAATTCATTCTCAAAGTATTCATTAAATGTCAGTTCAAAACAGTAGAGAAACTTACTCATAAGTATAGAAAATGTATGAAAATATTGTGATTTATATGTTTATATGTGAAATGCCATGACTTTGTAGTTGACTTGGATAAGAAAAAGTATATTTTCTTTTATACAGTATTTATATACATAATAGTTTATTATTAAACTGCTTCTATCCTATTAAATTTTTATAGTATCACTAAACTGTATCGCACTGGTTAGGCTTGGCAAATTTCATCTTTCATTTAGTATATCCTAAACTTGCAAGATGGAATTAAGTAGAAATGCTATAAAATTTGTAAAATATGCAAAATTCACATTGTTTTAAATCTGTTCTGTAGAATAATGCTTCTTCAGTTTTTGTCGAAGAAGAGATTGGCCTGTGTAAGAAAAACAAGTTATGTAGATTCTGTAATCTCTGATAATATTTTTTAATATAAACGCCTATAAATATTTTAATTTGTCTAATTTTCATACTGTATTTAAATTATCCAGCACCTCCCCTCACTACATTCATCTTTGAATAGTTGCAGCAAGCAGTTCTTTTGTTTTATTATTCTCCGTATTGCTTCTCTCTTGCTCTATTTTCCCCTTTTAAATCTATTGGCAAAAGTTTGCAGAGTTTGTTTTTCTTTTACCATCCTAATCCCAAACTCTCATATATTCAGCTGTCCAGAAATTAATATAATATGCACAGGTTCTAGATATTATGCAGAAATAGATTTTTCAATACATAAAAACCTATGAAGTCTCTTGATGCAAGAAAATTTCTATAAAATCAATGAATTATTTACTATTATCATAGCATTAAGACACTTATTGAAAAACTGAAATGGTTGAAATGTAATAGTAAGGTATGTTGCGGATGTATAAAAGGGTACATTCTTCCTACTGTTCTATACTTAACGAATGAAGTTGGCACACTTAACTATGAAGAGCATAGAGAGATGCTCTTATTGCTGTGCAAACATCCTTTCTTTGGTTTATTTCTCCTTCCCCCCCTTTGTCCCCCCTTTTTTGTAAGTATCTTACTATTGTTGAGCTCTGTTAAATTAAAGAAGGATCAAATCAACCTCTATAGGAAAATTATTTTTAAAAAGAGATTTTTAATAAATAGCCTCAAAGGAATGGCATGGTCATATTCAGTTCTTCATATGCAATAGTTCTGAAAATCAAACTTGAACTTTGATAGATAGTTTTACTCTTCGGGTACCTTAATATATAACTCCTGAATAATTTTCATGTCTTTTTCCATACTGTGGTCTCCCTGAATTATGCTTTTCAAACTTAGAAATACTTAGTGTTATCATTGTTGTGAGGAGTTGCTCCATATGTTTCACTGTGTCTTCTTTTTGCTTGGCTTGTGGAGAGCTTATGGTTCTAGGTTATCAGGACGACTGACTCATAAAGTAACTTGATATGTAGGCACTAGTGGGTAATTCTTGCATTTCATATGATCTTGAACAACATAATGGATGAGCTACTCTGAATGCACTTGGAATTAATCAATATACGTGTTTAGCATAGAGTCTCTCAGTTTCCTTATTATATGGCATTTACTATGTAATTATACGCCTTTGACTTTGGGGCATCTGACAGAATACCCTCTGATATACTGGCAAATGCTGCAATGCAGTATTTTTTTCAATGTCATTGGGGTTTAGGGGGATAAAAATGTTTCTAGAAATAATATTCTAGGCTGAATCATTGATGGGATCAATTTCTGTAAAATTGGCCGGTATGTTTTGGAAAGGAAATTATCCGCCTTCTGCTCCGGCTCTTCTCTCAGAGATATTCGAAGACTGAGTGGGGTGTGCATACCTCTGTATGTATGTGAACATGTGCTCGTTTGTGTTTCTGTCATTTAGTTGAATAAATCTCAGTACACTGGGTTGTCTTTTAAAACAAAGCTGCATAAAATATAATTCTGTAATTTAACACACACACATACATACATACATATATATATTTGAATATATTTAACACTTTTTAGAAGGTATCAGCCCTATATTATCATTAAAAAGTTTGTTTTTTTTAAAGTGCATTCATTTACTGTGCACTGGTCATGGCAGTGATACTCAAATGTATCGCATGTTTATATTTTATCTTATTTAATCTGCAAAACACTTTTGGGAGCTAAAGATTTTTATAGGTCACTAGCTGTAAAGAAATCAGGGACAATACATTTATATATTATGGCACAAATTGATTAACTTAGCTATTAGTGGGGGGGGGAGATAAAAATGAAGAACTAAAATTGATTAGTCCATGAAAAAGAGAACAATGAATTTTGACTTGGGTTAGAAATGTGTGTGAAGCTTTTGCTTTTCTTATATTAAAAGATTATTATTTACTCCTTCCCTTTAAATAATACCCCGAGGAAACAAAAACAATTATTTGTAAAACATTTTGACAATATATAATGTAAATGCATTGACTTTTTTATGAAAAAGAAAGCCATGTTATATATCAAAAGTTTATATTTCATATTAATTACAGTTTGAACAAATGGTTCTGAAACCTTATATTCATTAAAAGTAAGGCCGTTCATTTTATTTAATAACTAGGGTAGATTGCTTTAACTAGTGCACAGTTTGTGCCTATGGGATCCTGTAAGAAATAAAGAGGGAACTGAGGGTATTACCTGTCCATTAATTGAACTTTTTATTTTAAGATAGTAATCTCAGAGTTGGCAAATGTTGAAAAGCAAAAAGAAAGTCTAAATTAAATAGGATAAAAAGGCAGTGAGAATATGGATGAAATAAGATCAACTAAAGGTTCTATGGTTTTTTATTTGTGTTTGTTTGTTTTAGAAAAACAGTGCAAAGCTGGCTTTGCCTGTATTTGGGATCAGGAAATAGGTATAATCCTGAAGTGCTCCTTTGTTGGTAAGGTGAATGCAATGGCTAGTCCCCTACTATGATGTACAAATGAGATGTCCATGATCAGGCTTAAGAGGTATTTTAATTTAAAATTATCTTATATAACTAAATTTAAATTTAAAAGATTCT